AGAAAAGAGAGAGAGAGAGAGACTTAGCGCTAACTTTATCTCAATCTGGACTCAATCGTTAACGCTTCGCCCTGTTATGAATTCGCGACAAAACAAATTTTAATAATCTATTGTGTAATTGGAATCTTTTCGCAAAAAGAAAAACAAATTATGAAGTGCTACGTGAAATATAAAGACTCATCACGTGATATATGATCAAATTTTGTACAAGCAGAGTGATATTTCGATTTCGATTAATGTCCTAAGTTTATATTCTACTTAACTTTTCGCGACATTAAAATTATGTAGCGATGAAGTGTCGTTTTAGTCTTACGTCTCAGACAATCTTTCGAGAGTGATTCAGATTTAATAAAATATTTTTTTATCGCTATGGAATTTTCGTGGACACTTCAACATCAATCTAACGATCAAAATGGACGAAATCATCCGAACGATCATCATGAAGATGCTAACATTATCAATCAAGTTAGCGCTCGCCGATTGCTCAGCGTGGCAGGTAATTAACTTTTATTATGTATCCTGTAATCAGTTTGTAAATCGGTTTATTTTATTATTGATTCTTGAAATTACTTTCTCTCATCCTTTCTAACGTGAAACATGTATTTGGATGGATTTAATTCTATAATAGATGAGAGAAATAGATATTTTATGTAGAATTTTAAGTAGAAGAGTGAAAAAGAAGGATTTTGACAGTACGCATCAACCGCGATTTTCTTAATTCATGTAAAAATTACGTGATACGCTTATTTACGTCTCTTATCCTTGCTTCCATCGTTATCGTTATTTACCGTCATTTTTACGTAATAAGCATAATTGTACTGTATCGATGCACATGTTATGACGGATATTGATATATTTGTGATCACAAACAGCAATTTAACACCTGTCTACAACTTGTTCGAATCCCCTGCACGAAAATGCTCATGAAAAAGTAGGCTGCACCCTGCCTATCGTTTAGGACTCAGGTGGAACGTCGTCGGATTCGCTCATGACACGGCAGCTGCATCAACCCCACGATTAACGGGAGTAAAATCGACAACTGGGTTTCGATTAACTTCCTTTGTTTAAACGTTTACGATATGATCATAACGATACACACGAGTCGCGCAAGGGTAACATGATATTGCATATGTACGTTAGTGTTACTTTTTATTACCCTGCGGATTACAGCAGCCAGTTATAAACATTGCTACGTTTCATCTATATTCTATTGCGAAGGATGAAAGCCAGCCAATTTTCATAGACGAGTCACCGTCCACGATGCATTTCTATTTATTTTGCCAGAGAAAGTGCTCGTCTACCTATACAGGTCGAAAGTCTACATACGTCTTCTTTATATGTAAACCTTTTTACATCATTCGAGACTTAATTAGAATTAGAAGATGCGATTATTACACGTGGATTGTTTTATCCACGATTGAAGGCTCTTTAACTGAAATCAACATTTCATTGCAGTACATTGCACGACTAGAAAAGATGCGTATAATTACGTTCGGTGAAAGTTACATTCCTTTGTGGTTTATTAATTACAATCAATTCTAATTTACTGTGAATGAAACGAGTATTTATCTTTTCGAGACAATTCCTTGGTACATTTATACAAATCAAAACATATTTTGATAAATACATCTTGTAATATTTTTCTTTTTTATATAAAATTATTTCTAAAGATTTAAAATGCACAAATCTTTGCATCCCTCATGCGTCTTAAAATTATAAATTTATTAAAAGTTTGTATTTTACATTTAATTTTTTTTCAAATCAGAAAATGTAATAAATATTGGTTACTCTAATTTTCATATATTAATATTGGTTCTCGATAATTTATTTACTGCGTACATATTACATATTTAGTATAATGATATTCAGATTTAAATGGCCAACCATGTTCACAGGGGCGGTGTTTGGTCGATACCTCGATAAAGGGTTGGCTGGCAACGACTCATCCACCCTCGTCACTCCTTCAACTCTTTTCGTAAACGCTAAGCGCCATACATTTTAGACTTCATTTGTTCGATCATTTAAAAATGATAATTTTTATTGCGGTCAATGACAAAAAAAAAAGGAACTTTGAAATTATTCTCTCTAAAAAAGTTATAAAATTTCAAATTTGAAGCACTTTTCTGAATTATTAAAGATACTATCAAATTAAACCTATTGTTCTTGTTATTTTTATTAATTCTCACAACATTAATATGTCTAATGTAATTATATTTGTTTGTTATAGTTGTTTGTTATTTATCAGAAATTAAATCTTTTGATTTATAAAACTCGTTGCCCTATGAGATCACTGAAAATCTGAATTTATTAGCATTTTTATATATAAACAATATTTGTATGCGTGTATGATTTGTTAAATCATAATAGAAATATATTGATTTATATAATTAAATCGTTTCGCTAAACATATTTATCATAATATTTTTATTATATACTTCTTTTTTGCTTTACATGATTTTATAAATTTATTTTGTAAATATTACAAAATTGTAATATATTTACGTGATATTTCTAGAATTAGAGAAATATGTCTTTTACACACACACACACACACACACACACACACACACACACACACACACACACACACACACACACACACACACACACACACACACAATATAAAAATAAATCACTACTGTTTTACACTTTCATAACTTTTAAATAAATAAGAATGATTTCTTAATTTCTCTCTTTTTCTCTTTTTTCTCTAAGATTTGTTATTGAAAAATAATATTGTCCCGCCGAGTGGAAAAACTTTGGGCGATACAATATGACGTTACGTCTCGTTATTCACTTGAAAAGTGTCCTTACTCTCGGCTCCCAACGCTTAAATGTTTATGAATGTTTGACCGGAAGTAACGTATTACAACGCTATGCTTGGAGTCTTAAGCGCTTAAGTATATATGAAGTACATATTGCCCGCGTTTCTACATTTCAAAACAGGATCGGGAGTATCAATGTTAGGCGGACTAACGATCGCTTCATAATTTTTAGACTTTGTCAAACAATCGGCGGACTTCTTTCGTAGAGTCTCGCGCGATTTCCGTTGTGAGAAAATTGTAAATCATTTTCTCCGATTGTCTCTGAAAAGCAAACATTTCAACGGTATACGTGGAATTTAGGAACTATTGCAAAAAATTCGGCTGTTATTCGTGCCACTCTCTCCCTTCGTCCTCGTTGACGTTTTGTTCATTCAACTGCATCCTCTTCGAATCTCGATCATCCGTGAAATTTGTTCGTGTCCATTCAATAAATCAACTTTCTCCCTCACTGAAAACTATCGGGACGATAACTTACAATGTGTCTTACTTGAAATCTTTTTCCGACGTAGACGCGTCTCTCTCAGACGAACTCTTGCAACTTGTGATGCAACAAATGAAGATGGCAGACGTTCATACGTCGCGTATATATGTTTGAAGTAGACGCATAGCAATAATTTTGAATTAGATTAATTACATCTACTTTTACTAGAACTTACTTATAGTAGAATATAGCGAATGTTGAAAGATTGAAATTCTCACATCGGCTATAATTAGAAGTGTTTATAACAAAAATTACTTATTATTATTTTAATGCAAAATTCTTTTGCAGGTCGTGGTGACTTCGTTGGAGGGATAGACAATGAAGCCTTGGATTTTTCGCAGTTGGAGGACTTTATCAATAGTGATAGTGAACAACCTGCAACGTGAGTTTGAAGAACATTAATTTTACATGTTTATATATTATAATTATTATTTATTTCCATATTGTTATTTGTTTCGCGCATTTTGGATTGGCTTAAAAAAATTTTGCGATTAGACAGGAAATTTGATCTCGCACGAAGCGTTTCTGGTGACGGAGCTTAACCACATTTGGAAGCCATGGTTAACGCCTACAATACGCGTGTTCGTGTCACGTAATGATCACAAAGCAATTTGTTGTTTTTCAGAATATGGAACGCCAATTTATCAATTTACATTGATAAATCTTACATTTAATCTTACATTTAATGTCTATTCATTAAAGTTGCCTCAATCTTAAGCGCTTTTTGCTACTTTTTCTTTCCTTAATTTCGATATATTCGATATATTTGATAATAATTCCATGAAATAAAATTATAATAGTAAAATATTTTAAAAATACAATGAGTGCGATGAGAAGCGTAAAATTCTCTTGCGACAATGTGACATTTTTGACGTTTATATAGGTTTATATAGGTGCCTTCTCAAATTATGATAATTAACGAATTTAGATAATACGTTTCTGCTCTCCAGCAGCACGAGCACGCGTTTCCTGCGAACGATACGATGTGTCAGGCTAAATTTCTAAATTGCTCCATCTCGACACTATGTATTCCGGCTACTCTGTCGCTACATCACGATGATTATCATAGGATTTCATGGTCACTGTGTTTGGACAATATTTGTATTTTATTAATCTGAAAATTGACCTTCTTGACATGTTATAATATTTTCCTGTTTATTTTTGCAGTAGTGCATATAAAATGTGCAATGTGTAAGAAAAAGATAAAAAGCTTTCCTGTTGCTAATGGAAAAGTACGAAATACGTGAAGTTATTTATACATACAAACGGTGAAAAAATTTTAGACATTTCATCAAGTGAAAAAAAAAAAAAACAAACTCTGTGACAAAAACACTTTAGATACAGTTATTGTCGCGTGTGTATTTTTAACAATGTAAAAATTAAACGATTAAAAACCTGATCCTGTACCTGACCAATTGAAAAGTAAGAAAGTTTTAAGAATCATAAGAACTAGCATTTCTTTGTAATAAATGTATCATGATAAGTGTATAAACTATTTCATTTCATAAACCACAAATGAAAAGAAACGCTACAAAACATTAAAACAAAATGTTTAATGTAAAATTAAAATATATGTATTTAATTACATGACGCTCATCACGTCGGTGGATGTCGATGCAACATGCCGACCTTGATAGATATACTGACACACAAATTTTCTTATTACCTCGAGAATTATTTGTTAAATATTTTTGTTGAATATATTGTGTTCAATATTTTTTAGTATTTAATGATATTAATGATATTAATAAATATAATAGTTGAAATCATAGAAAATTTGAATGCTGTTCTCTATACTCTATATTTTATCAGTATTTACATTTCAAAGAAGCAACATTCGCGCATTTGTTTGATAAGGTTCTAGCAGTACGAATGCTTCAATTAATTATTGGAAACACTATTACTGTATATACTTACTATAATATTTATAATTGCGAGAAGTAGTGACGCTTTTAAAAATAGGACGTTTTATTTCATTGAATCATGTCATTGTGTAAGTTCAACTTTCAAGGAAACAAGAAGATCTTAAACCCCTTAGTATTTTCCAATAAATTACAACACATCTACAAAAGTGAACTCTCAATCTCTCATTTGGCTTCAGGCACGAAAACATCTTATTCCAGACCTGACAGCACATATTGACGTAATCGCATACACCAGGAAACGCATCCAGCCATTCTTTATACGCACACAATCGTACGTACGCGTGTGTACATACGTATATGCTCAAGCTACAGACAGATATTCACGTAGATAACGACCGCAGAGATGTAATGATATAATGACAGAGGCAGACAGAACGGAATTGATGGAATCACAGCGTGTACACTGCGTTAACCCTGCTAATTCGACTTCCAGCACTCGTCTTCCATTAAAAGGTTCCCGGGATCATCGCGCAGCGACAGAATTAACCGAGAAGAAAAAGAAAAAAAAATTCCTTCCGAACGATACTCGCGTGCTATTTATTCAACAATAAATTCTCATTTGTCAATTTCATGTTTTAAGCTATTAAACACTTTTTTCAATATGTCTTCATTTTAAGTTTTTTCTTTTTTATTTTCTATGAATTCTCTATTCATTCTATTTTTTATTCTTGAGATTTATTATTGTTGTTATATTGTTGTCGTTGTTGTCGTTGTTGTTGTTGTTGTTGTTGTTGTTGCTATTGTTTTTTTTTTTTTTATTTCTTTCTCTCTCCTTATTATTCGATTCTCTTGTGACTTTATGCATATTTCGATGTGTACACGTGTATACATCGTGATCAATACGTAAGAGATATGTTATTTAAAAAAGACATTAGTTAGATAGATAAGCGGAGAAAATTCATAGTAGCGACGCGAAGTGATTTTATACAGAATTGTCGTTTAGAGAAAGAAGATCCGTTATGTGGAAATACATCCGTTCATTTTTTATTCTACTTGCATTAGTTACGAAACAATATAAAGTACGCGCGAGATATCACGATAAAAAGTATACGCAACAAGAGATAATAAAGACCATAATACTCGATCATAATTTATATTTAAAGAATTTCCAGAAATTTCCATTCAATCGACAATGTAATTACGGCTTACGCAATAAGAAGGAACAGAGATTTTTCTTTTTTTCACGCGGTCGAGAGAGATTACGGATCGTTATCGAACGAACGTTTCTGATTGCCTCTTAATTAAGAATTCGCGGAAAATTCATTAGATTGACGTGTAGATTGTTGCCGCGCGAGTCTTCCTCACTTGGATGGAAACTGCATAACAGTACCGGTACCGTGTGCACAGTTAAGCTCTCGCGAATTCTGCGAGTTGAGAAAATTCAATGCGGGACATAGCTCGCCGAAGCGTGTGAGTCGTCGAAGCATCATTTACCGTGATACCGACCAAATGCCGTGATTCAGACGATAACGATATCTCGAATGTTTTGTAAATAAATTTAACGTGCAGTCGCGGTCTCGCAGCATGCATAGCTCTCGAAAGATCGATAAAAAGGATGCCGATATAGCGCGCCCGATATGTATCTCCAATTCCCGTCAACGTATATATATATATATCTTTTACGTATCCTTTCCCTAAGCGACGACGAATGATACTCTATATTTTAGTAGAGAAGCAAGCGTGAAGAAAGCATTAAAAAAAAAATGGAGACGTCGTCGATGAAAGATCGTATACATTTTACATATTTAGGTATTTCGCGGACACTCTCGCCCACAACGAAAATGGAGGTGGAGCGGTGTCTCACGGTGGCCGGATCGAGGCACCCACGTCGCAACCGGTCGCCCAACAGCAGCCACCACCGCGACTACCTTCGCCGCAGATGACGCAGGCTCATCCAGTCTCGATAGTGTGCGCTTCCGGTACCACGACGGTACCCAACAGCGGCGGCTACAAAGATCCGCAGACGTATGCGCATCCGTAAGTCCGTCAGCTGTGAGGAATAAAGCTGATATCCGCGCGTTTTACGCCAGGGAGAGACGAAAATAATCTCTACGTTTACTTAAAAATTTTAAAAATCTAGTTTTCTATTAATCCTCTGCCTCTGGCATTAGAGAAAATATTAAATGAGGGATTTAATTCAACGAAATTACATTAGTTTCACTTAAGTAACAAAAGTTAAACAACAACAAGATTCTAGATTATTAGGAACATGTATAATAGGAAAATCAGACAGATCTCTCTAGCAGCTAGTTTTGATGATTCGATGAAAATCTAAAACATTATTTTCCAGACACGCGCTACCGGAAAGCCCACCGGATAGCGGAAGTGAGCCACCGTATTCACCGCCGGGACATAATGACACTCAACACGTACACTCGCCACGTGAGTTTAAATACAATACTTACATAAGAATATTCTGAAAAAGAAAATTATAATCCAAAAGAATTGCATGTAATTGTAGATCAAAAAGCGGCTTTACAAGAGATACTTTTGCATCATCAGAACAATCAATATCCTCCTAACTTGCTACCACCTTCTCCGAGAGCATTACCTGCAACAACGACCGATCCTCTATTGTTAACGCCAGTCCTGACATCCCACCTTACGTCGGGAACATCGAATCTTTCGACACAGCCCCAGATAGGACCGCCTTTAGTGCCGTTATCGCACGAACATAGTCCGGCTGCTATTAATACGTTATATTCCTCTCTGCAATCGGCTCCAAAAAAGAGGAAACTCAGCCAAGATGGTCTTATTCACGTCAAACAGGTATTTTCGCGTTTCATTTGTAATTTCATTCGATTCTTTTTTCCTTCTTTTTTTCCTTCTTTAATTATTATTCGCGATTATTGCTTACTATACTTTACAGGAACCTGAATTGGGTACCGTGGAGCACAGTTGCAGCAGCAGTAGCGCGGTATTGGATAGCGACGAAGTCGCTGATAGCAATTACATCGATGCTAGTTATCAGTGTATTCGGTTCCATCCATTCCAACAGACATCCTGGCACGTTCTTTGCGATCATAATCTCAAAGAATTACCAGTGCCACATTATAGGGTGGATGCCGACAAAGGATTTAATTTTAGTAATTCGGATGATGCATTTGTTTGTCAGAAGAAGAATCATTTTCAGGTAGTGTCTGATAAAAATAATAAGACAAAATATGCTGTGAGCCCAGAAACATATTTTTTTGAATTTAAACTTAAGTGTAGTAACGATGTCAAAATTATATATAAATTTTTCTTATGTTTCGATAATTTTTCTTATATTTGCTATCCTTATGTTTAGATAACATGTCACGCCCAGCTTCAAGGGGAGGCCGTATTTGTTAGGACTGGCGAAGGTTTAAAAAAGATTAGCGGTTTTCAATTACATTTCTATGGAGTTAAAGTGGAATCTCCATCGCAAACAATCAGAGTTGAACAGAGTCAAAGCGACAGAAGCAAGAAACCGTTTCATCCTGTAACGTAAGTTTATACATCGACGCAACGTACAAATCGATAAGTATAATTAAACACAATTGGATTACGCTATAGATGTCCTTACAGAGTCGAATTAGGCGGCGAACGTGTTACGAAAGTGACAGTCGGCCGTTTGCACTTTAGCGAAACTACAAGCAATAATATGCGTAAGAAGGGAAAACCGAATCCGGATCAGAGGTATTTTCACTTGGTCGTCGGATTACACGCTCATACTTCAGACCAAGCCAGTTATCAAGTAGTAGCTCACGCATCGGAACGTATAATTGTCAGAGTACGTAAAAGTAATGGTGGAATGTTATTTCTGGAACCGCTAGATTGATTCTCGTATATTGCATTATAGGCGAGTAATCCAGGACAATTTGAATCAGAAGGCACTGGGGTAGGTGCTGAAGGTGGATGGCAAAGAGGAGCAGCTCCAGACAGCGTCTATCATGCCGGTAGAGTTGGAATTAATACAGATAGACCGGACGAAGCTCTTGTTGTACACGGCAATATGAAAGTACGATATGAAAGCGACTTTCTTATTTATTTATTTATTTATATATATATATATATATGTATATATATACATACATATATATATATATATATATATATACATACATTCAAATCACTAGTTGAAAAATAAAATAAATTAAATACAATGTATTGGATATTGTAATTGTGTGTCAATATATTGTTAAATTCATCACATAGGTAACCGGTCATATCGTTCAACCTAGCGATGTAAGGGCAAAGCAAAGCGTTCAAGAGATAGACACGCGCGAGCAGTTACGAAATGTACAACAACTACGCGTTGTTCGTTATCGATATGCTCCAGAATTCGCGCAACATTCTGGTCTGGATATCAAACAGGAAGATACTGGCGTTATAGCGCAAGAAGTTCAACAAATTCTGCCGGAAGCAGTGCTACCAGCAGGTGATATAGTTCTGCCAAATGGTCAAAGAATTGAAAATTTCTTGGTGGTAAATAAAGAGAGAATATTTATGGAGAATGTTGGTGCCGTTAAGGAATTATGTAAGGTAAGAATTTTTGTCAGTTTCTCACGTAGTGTTATACATGGAATTTTAATATACACTTTTCGTCTAAATACTGATTATTACAGGTGACAGACAATCTAGAAACGAGAATAGATCAATTAGAGAGAATAAATAAACGACTAGCGAAATTGAAAAGGGGTGATAGTCTAAAAAGTTCCATCAGTACAGTATCTAGTATATCAAGCAATAAATATTCATCATCTATCAATAAGTCGCCTTTGCACGGAAAGGCAAAAAGATTCGAAAGAGAGGAAGAACTTCTCTGTAGTAATAAATTTATTCAAATTATCATTGTTATACTTATTCTTATTATGGCATTTTGGTAATTATTCATTTCTCTTTATTTTCATTTTAATCTTTACTTTCTCTATCAAACATCTAACTAATTGACATTACAATTTTCAGTTTAGTTGCAATGGCAACATTATATTTCTTAGAATATCAAAAACGCAGTAGCGTTGAATGGTCTGCCATGGCAAGCAATGGAATGTTGGCTATTGGACCGGCTCATCCACCGACAATGTCTACCACTTCTAATTACGAGCAGCGATATAATTCGTTGTTACATAGCACATTATCCCCTTTATATACGAAACAAGGATCTTACACAAGAGAATTAGATGGAGGATTATCTGTTAAGAGTAACTCCTTTACCACGCCACCTCCGCATACGAAACAACAATTATATTCTCAGGAAATAACGTGGTATCCAATGAGCCATCCGGGTCCCCAACCTAAACATGAAAAAAATAAGTCAGTAAAATATAAAATTTTTTAAATAATGTTATAAAAAAGCATTTTGTTAGATATGTACATGTAGATTTGTTAAAAACCTTATTATAATACCTTCTTATTATATATTTCAGTGAATTTCCGGGAAATTGGCTTAGTAGAAATGGCGCGGGTGCCGTTCCTAGTAATGTAGATGAAAACGATCAAGGCTCAGATGTAGATTCTTTATTTGCTAATAAAGGCCCAATCCCTTTAGGAAGACCTGAAGAATGTCCTGCACATTTTACCGAGCTTGAAAGTCCATGTCAGGTATTTTGAAATTTATTTTACATTTTACTGATCGATATGGATACATAATAAATCTATAATTAAATGAGATATAAATATCATGTTTCAGATATATTGTTGTACAGCTGAAATTCATCAACTGGAAGATCCTCACCCTGATCATCCACCAGAGAAGAAATCTATTTGTAAGTATTTCATAATTGCTTCTTTGAGTTTATTAAAACATGCATATAGATTATATATGCCTTATACAATCTGAATCATTATTGTACAACAAATTTTATTTATCTTTAGCAGATCATTTGGAACAGCCACTAAGTATGCCACATGAAGAGAAACGAAAATTAAGTAAGGGTTTCCAAAATGGTATTAGTCCATCTGATCCTAGCACTCAAACTCTTGTGAAAGAGGTATAGAATTTCTTCGAAATTATTTACATTAGATACTTTATGATAAAATTAAATATATAATTAAGCGTATATGTATCTTATAGACCAATTACAAGTATTTACATAAACGGGCAAGGCGGGAAACTGGTGGTGGAGATTGGGGAGAAGTCGCTAGCAATGCCGCAGGATCATTACCACCAGAGCCTAAACCGCAATTATTTGTAGTAGCAAAGAATTTCAACACCTCTTTGGATCAAAGATATTGCTCCCCATCATCACCAGATACACCCAACAACATCAGTTGCATTGTACCCTTGTCGAAACATATGCCAGACACGCATTTAACGTTACATTTTGTGTAAGTTTAAAATGTGTGCTTTTTATAAATTCACACATCTATAAACATACATATATATTAGATATTTACAATCATGACTTTTCTTTCTTTATAGCGGTATACCATGGTATTGGCAAATTGTGCAGCAGTGTCCCTTTTCACCAAATTCTGGTATGGATGAAACAATCGTATGCGGTTGGAGCTATATTGTGCAGCAACAAACTCAGTATATTGAAAATAATAATCAACCGGGTGATCAGTCCTTTGCTCTTGATGTTGCTCACTATCTTAGGAAGACTTTAAAGTTTCGCATACCTACAATACAACCTCAAGAGGTAATCATATTAATGTAAAGAAGAAATAATATTCTTTATTTAATATTCTTTATATAATTAAATATAAGTAAAATTATATTAGTGCATTAGAAAGGTTTTTAATGCATTTAATATCGAATCGCATAATCTAATTATCGTTTTTTTTTATTACAGAATATTTGTAAAAGTAAGCATGGCGTCGACTATTTGGAATTTACATTGCACTTTTATCGAGACTGTGAAGAACAATGAATCTTCTCTTCTTGTACAGCGCGCTTTATAAGAAGCTTGATAATAAGGTTCTAAACATTTAAATAAAAGTTAGAATTCTCTATTCTATATAAAGCCTTTGTGCCTTTGTAATCTGTCCTCTGCTTTGTAGTTTATAATAATCCTGTCTTTTATATATCATCATGTTGCATTACATAGTATATATTATTTACTAATATAGACATAAAATTATACATAATTATAATTAATATAGCACATATCGTTATTATGCAAAAAATTTTTTTAGATAATGTATGTAAAAATATGCATACATATATTTCATTACCTTATTCATCTCATAAAATGGATAGTAATAACGGCGACATGAATAATTAAATAGCAGTTGATGGGTGCAACATTTACCGTATATTTATCAAGTTATAATATTTTTCTTGTAATATTTTTAGTTTTTAATCCAACGTTGAGGCTTTCTAATATTAATAATTAGATGCAAATATTAACTAAATCATATTACTTCTACAAAATTATGTAAAAAAAGTGTTTATTATCATGTATTGCAATGCAGTACTAATACTAATGTAAATCACTTTTACATCCATCAGCATGTCACAGCATTTAAACACTTATTTAATAGTTTCTTATGAAACTTATACTCAAGATCTGTTTTATGAGCATATATTTCTACATTTAGCATACATCTTTTACGTAGATATTTTAATTTTTGATACTGATTTACAGATAACTTGTTGTATAAATAATATATTTGACAGTACTAATAACAATATTTTAGACAATTGCAAAGTTGAATAAACTTATCAAAATATTGCGTCATACAAAAACATTAGTGTTTAAATTGTAAATAGTATCTATCTGCTATATAATTAATTTCATTTCACGATTATGTACAAACAACATTTAATATTTAATGTTATAATATGTTATATAATATTGTTATTAATTAATTAATTCAAATAAGGGGACAATTTATCGTTAATTTTTAATAAATTATTTTTAATTTGAGTATCTCTTTTTCACAGAGTAATGGAAATCATCGAGGCAACTATATGTTTTAATATTTTTGTTTGCTATATTATTTGTTTATATTAAACGATTGTGCGAGTTCCTAAAAATATTGTACAGTAAATGTTTAATGCATAATAGAATTATTTATATGCACGCATAAGCTTGGTAAAAAAAGAATTAAATATTTATTCCTCGTTATGTACGCGCATATTAATTTTAATTTTATATAATAAAATAAAATATTCAGTTTTTAATTTAAAAATGATTTTTCGTCAATAATAATCGAATACATATATATAAATCCTATAATTTATGTTTGAATTTGCTTAATGGCAATATAAGCGTACTTTCATTATTAAAAAGTGACTCGTACAATATTGTTAAAAAGATGACGAGCAATCTCTAGGCAGTTCAAATATATGTTAACATCCTTGCCGTCCACGTATTTTCTGTATGGAAAAAAACAGTTTATACAGAAGCTTGATAATTTATCGATTGATTATCTATACTGTAACTCAGAGCTCAGTGCACGAACTTGTGATGTATTGTAGAGAAACCGAAACTTTTGAATAATTATTAGTATATATATTCATACACACACACGCACACACACACACACACACACACACACACACACACACACACACACACACACACACACACACACACACACACACACACACTATATATATATA